CCAAGAAAGCTTGTCAAATATCTATTTTTTTCGCCCAATATGTACGCCATGCCATCACACTAAGCAAAATCAGATATCAAGATGGACCGAAACCCAAAATCAAGTAGGGTCAAAACCCAACAGTCAAGAAAATCAAGAACCATATTAAAAATGGCTTCCTAGTTCGTACTTAACACGGACAAGTTCCATAATTTAAGACGAACTACAAATTCAAAGTCAAGATGGCAAAAGATACAAATCAAGAGGCATGCCAAGATGAGTGACAAAGTCACTGCCACAAGAAGGACAAAGTCCCAACAAGAATACAAAATGATCAAACAATCTGTACGAGTGGGCAATTTAGCAAATATCTTGCAATGCTTGATATAACACGAATACAATGCTATTAATTGAAGAGAAAAAAAATAAAATATCAGGTTATTTCAAAATATTCCAGCAAGTAAAGAGAGTACAAAGTTTATACTCAAACCTTGGTGTTTTACCACAAAATAGTTCAACCACAACTTGAGCACGTTCGAATCGTCTACGCCCTAAGCAAACCAAATCCGTCTACTTCTCAAACACTTCCCATTAGCTTTTACAAGGATATATATACCTTAAATACATAATAAAATATCTATATAAGTTCAGTGATTTAACATGTCAAACTAAATATGATATTGGTGAAAATTACCCAAAATATTTGAAAAAGAAATTCTGGACAGTATCACTGCCTTGTGTTATAACTCAGATTTGAAGATGAAAAAGGACAAACTAGACTGTGTGGTCTTCTTTACAGTTGTAGATATGTGTCTTAGCGTTTCAGAACATTTTGAATCAACCCCATATCAATTTTGTACAAAACGTTATGCTAAACTTACTAACAGTAGTACAAGGAGGGTTTGTAAAACAGAAAAATTTGGGCAGCACCCGCCCTATACTTCATCACTTATTTTCGGGTAAATAAAAGACAAACCAGGTTTTGATTCCTTCATAAGAGTTATAAATCTATGAAATAGATTTTCAGAAAGTCTTAGATCACTTAAAACAGAGCTCTATAAAAAAGGATATGAAGAAAATACTAATAGCTATCTAGTGCAAAAACGGGTTTAGTAACTTACCACAAAAGAGAGGAGCATCTTGAGCTTCACCAAGAACGAATTTTGCTGGTTGGTTTAGTGGAAATTTATGGTGGTTTTCATGAAGTTTTCAGGTGATAAGAAGGAGAGAGGATAGGGGTATTTTTCATTTTCTTGAAAGAATGAAAATGGGGAGTTTATGGAAGACTAAGTCAATCAAAGTTGTCTTTAAGAATTTTGGATAAATATGAAATAAAAATGGCTGCCCAACTACTAAATATCCTTAGATAAATACAAAAGAGTGACAACCCAAAAATTTAATTATAATGTATTTAACAACAATTCATGAAAATAATATTAAGTGTTACGCATAGCAACACCATGGAACTTCTTTGTCAGTATTAACATAACCTAGAGTAAGGAATTTTCATGTATTGTAAATTTCACGTTTAGGAAGTGCGAAGTAAAAATATTTCCTCATTATAAAGATGCTCAATCGAAAATGCAAATATTAGTAAGACTTTGGGGTGTTACACTTTGTATAGTGATATTAATTTGTTAATTCCTTATATCGTACGTGTGTAATATATGTACATTAAAAAATAAAACAAGTTGTATATTTTCTTATATAAGAATCGTTAGTGAAAGTTAAGAACTTGTTGGAACTAATTGATTCTATTTTATAACTTTGGTACTGACGGATTTTCACCCTTCAACTACAAAGGTCGCGGCACGACTTGAGCAAAATCACTTTTAGCATGCGGCGGAAAATATTTACACTCGGTAGCCACTAAAGTGTTTAAAATTTATATACTACTAAAATATATTTTTTTGGCTATTATAAAGTTACGTTTTCCCATGTCTCACAACTTTTTCTTTGCCTCCGAAGAGAACTTTAGGTAAAAATTGCATGGGGCGCCCTATTTGGTCGCCCCTTTTTAATTTATACTCGTTTTATTTTTTCGTTTGATCCGTACCCATTTTTTTTATTAAAAATATTTTAAAAAGATGATTTTGCCCTTCTTTAATAAAAGACTATTGACAAACTGCATGACAAAAACTTAAGCATGTTTAGACTGAAATTTTAGCAAATAAACTAAAAAAATTCAGCTTGTTTAGACTGAAGTTTCGGATAAAACTCAGGACAAAACTGTAGACTGTGTTACAAAATTTCAGCATGTTTTGGTATGAAATTTTAGCAAATGAACTAAATAACTTCAGCATGTATTAGCAAAAACTCTTTAGAAAATTACATACTGCAAGACAAAAACTTAAGCATGTTTAGTCTGAAATTTTAGGAAATGAACTAAATAACTTCAACATGTATTAGCAAAAACTCATTAGAAAATTACATACTACTAGACAAAAACTTAAGCATGTTTAGTCTGGAGTTTTAGCAAATGAACTAAAAAATTTAAGCATGTTTAGTTTGAAATTTTAGCAAATGAACTAAATAACTTAAGCATGTTTAGTCTGAAATTTTAGCAAATGAACTAAATAACTTAAGCATGTTTAGTCTGAAGTTTTAATAAATTAACTAAATAACTTAAGCATGTTTAGTATGAAGTTTTAGCAAATGAACTAAATAATTTCAGCATGTTTAGTCTGAAATTTTAGCAAATGAACTAAATAACTTCAGCATGTTTAGACTGAAGTTTCGGATAAAATTCATGGAAAAACTGTAGATTGCAGGATAAATAACTTCAGCATGCATTAGCATGAAGTTTTAGCTTCAATGTGAAACAACTTCATGCTATATTAGCATGAAGTTTTAGCTTCAACATGAAACAACTTCATGCTACATTATCATGAAATTTTAGCTTCAAGGTGAAACAACTTCATGCAAGTGTGATTCTGAAGATGAATCTGGACAAGTTTATAATTTTTTTATAAAGTTGCTGAGAGGAGGGGAGGAGATCGTTATATCTTTTGTCAGGGGTGTAATTGTCATATTATTATGAATTTTTTGTGAGATGGCTACCAAATCAATAACTTAAAAAATAGGGTACAAGTTAAAAGATGACACAAATATATGGTACAACTGCAAATCCCCGAACTTTAGGCCGAACTATCAAATGTGTTAAAAGCCCATAAAATTTTACTTTGGGCTCAGCCCATAATAATCCGTTATTCTAAATCTCAACATCTCAGCCCAAATCAAGTAGACCGAAATCTCCTCCAGCTTGTTGCTCAAGTGACGGCGGGCGGCGGACGACTGCGGACGGCGGTGAGCCCATTTCTTGCTGTTAGAAATATACTATGATTGTCTTCTCTCCATTTCTATCTTTTTTTTTCTATTTTATTTAGAAAGGTCATAACTTGTTTTATGAAATGCCGAAGCTGTGAGTATTAGCCAAAAAGTTGGAGCTACTGGAATGAAGTGTAAGTTAGAATTGTGCTGAATGGTTGTCATGGAAATGTATGCCTAAATATTCTAGGTTTTTCTTTTAGTTTTTATTTGCTAATAATTACATGTGAATTACCTAGGAAGTGATTAGGAGAATTGACATCAATCAATTGAGTATGTCTTTAATTTCAAATTAGTTGAGATCGACTATTTGAATCAGGATTTCATACAAAAGGGATTCAAAAATGTCACACCTCGGATATTAACCTTTGATCAAAAGCAATTTTTGAACCACTTTGCTACTTTACTAGAATTTTCCCGCATGTCAAGGGATTCAACAACTTATATTAACAAAAAGAACTATTTTTTACCCTATTTTCATAATATTATTTTCCGGCAATGCAATTGAATCCCCTTTCTCCAAACTAGCTCTGTTAGTGGTGCCTAGGAGAACACGTCCCTACTGATTAGGAAACTTAAAGTAAGGGGGAAATTTAGAAGGAACAAAAATTAAAGATGTAGTGAATTGTTAGGTTTCTTAAGATCTCTTAGTTTCAAGGTTATCTTCGGGAAAGACCATCAAACAGCAAAGTGAACTTAGCTTGGTATGGGTAGTATGATCGCTCCATTTTCTTTTTTGTTCTTTTTTTTTTCTCTGAAAATCTTTCATCCAATGCTTCTAAGAATGAATTCTTTTGGAATTTAATTCGCTTATAAGAATTGTGTTCCATTCAACTTATAGCTTTTCTTGAGAAGCCATGTTAGTGTGTACGTTTGTTAAGCTACAAATTGGTTACCGTTGTTTTACGTTGTGCGGGATCTGCAGGACTACTCCACCTCTTTGCTTGTAATCTGATGAGAAAATATGATTAGAGGCCTTTTATTCTTTACCTTGATTATAGTGATGCGTAGTGGTTAGCGTCTTAGTGACATATAAGAAAAGATAGCAATTCTTGATAGTCATTCTGATTAAAGTGGAAAACTAGAAAAACAATGTGGATTGCCTTTGCTAATGAAATAACTTTTTATATGATTTTGGTTGTTTGGAGGGATGGGGAGTTACGAGGAGGATGTGGAGCAAATCTTTTTCGGTTTCTCTAAATGTGCTTCTATGACAAGAAATTCCATACGAGGGAAATTAATTTATCAAGTGCAAATTCAGTGACTTAGTAGCATCCAAGAGTGTTGCAAATGGAAAAAAATGAGAAAAATCCTGGATGTCGTTCCTCTTTCATCTTCATTTTCTCTTTTCTGTTTTGTTTCCTCAGACTGTGGTAAAACACATTAGTTGATTTGATTCTGCTGCTTTCTTGTCTAATTTGAAGTTCCAGATGATGTCCTTTCGCTGGGAATTCTATTAGTTAGTGGAGTTCGTACACTATACTAATTTATAGTAATTGCTGCGAGCACCTAATTTTTGACTATATTTGAATTTTTTCACCACATTTTAGTATTTCAATAATTTTAAGTTTAATCTTGAAGCTTTTATTTCACCTTTTTATAAGTCTTATTTATGAAAATTGAAAATACAAAAATAGTTATTTTTAGAGTAGTAATTTTTATTCTTACAAAAGAAAGAAAAAGTTTCAAAAATATATTTTTTTCATCTAGTTCTAGTTTAATTTTCAATTTAAAGGTTTTAATAAGTGAATATTGAGTAAGTATTATTATCTTGATAGTTTGATTTAGTAGGAGTGGTCTTTCTATTTTATCTTTTGTATTGTTTCACTTTTCAAAACAAAAAACAAACAAAGGAAATTTTTTTAAAAACAATATGACTATAAGAGCCAATTGGCACTTCCTCTTTTGTCTTCTTCCTAAAAGATTCCCTCTAATCCCTTATAACAAAATTCACGAAATTTTCTCAAAGTGCATTCCTAGCTGAAAACCAGATCTGAAACACCCCAAAATCTCACCCAAAAACAGCTGCAAAATAGCTCCAAATCAGCTCCCAAAACAGTCCGAAAACCACCATAAAGGCTGCCGTCTTCACACAAAACCAGCAACTCGTTCCTACTCTGTCAATCACTACAAATGAGCCGAGTTCGAGTCGGGTTAGTCGAGGTTCGTTGAGGTTTCCGGCAAGGCATTTGTTTTCCTGTTCGAGGTTCTCTTGTGCTTGACGATTCCAGAATATTTGCAATTGTAAAGGTCCCCTTCTCACTTTCAGATTATTTCATATATTTGTTGTGCTTTGGTGAATGTTTTAGCTTAATTCCTTGCGTCTCTGTTAGCATGCCTTACACGTGATTTTGATTTGTTTATCCATTTTTGGTGTTATTGTGTTTATTATGTTGAGTTATTAAGGATTGGTCAGATTTTCTATTTGTAGTTGTTGAAGTAGATTTTGTGTTCAAATGGGTATATTTTTTCTTAATGTGAATAGGTTTGTTTGGATAGGTCCGATCAATTCCAATTTAGATAGAGTGATCTTTTCTTGTCGTTCTTGAAGTCTGTTAGAGATTTGGTTCCTTATACCATTTCTTAAATGCTTAGAAAATTAAATATCTCCTTGATAGCTCAGAATATTTAGGAATGCAGGTATGGATTCTTGCTTTGCCCTTTGAATGTTTTTAAGCATTTTGCTTGCTCTGTTCGAGATAGGTGAGGATGTTGCATGGTTTTCTTTTAATTTTTTGCTAACAGATAGTTTATTCCATTAAATTTGCTTACTTGCTTTGTTTTAGATTAGTTTTTAGAATTATTCCGGCGTAGACCATGTTACCAGTCCATTTTAGTTTTTTAGAATGAGTTTTGATAAAGTGGATAAATGTAATGGCAAAAGGATTTGGGTGTAAAGGATAACTGATAAACTCTTGGCCCTACAATAATTTCAAATTAGCTTTAGGAAAATAATTAATGAACATTCATAGCTTGCTTTAGGCGCGATTAATAATATTATTGTAACTATGGGTACGGTTCCCGTGGCATAGTCATGACTCATGATACATTTAATCCCAAATTTGAGTGCACGCTTGCGTGACTTGACCCCAACTTCAAAGTAAGAATAAAATAAACATGTCGTAAATTGCAGGTGTGTTTCACGCGGCGCGATTTGCGATGTGTATAAAACGACAAGTGCACGACATCGTAACTTGTTCAAATAAATTCCATAAATACTTAAAATGGCCAAAATATTTGATAACAACGGGAAAAAGGTAAAAATGCACAATAGGTCTTAAAAACATGTAATATTTCAGATAACAAAAAACCGAGTGTAATTTGTAAAGCGATCGTGCTAGAACCATAGAACCCGGGAGTGCCTCACACCTTCTCCCGGGTTAACAGAATTCCTTACACATGTCTTCTGTGTTTCGCAGACTTGTACAGAGTCAAACATTCCTTGATTTGGGATTTAAAATAAATGGTGACTTGGGACGCCGTAAATAACTATTCCAAGTGGCGACTCTATTAAATAAATAATCCCTCTTCAATAATGTCACTTAAATTGGAAAAACTCCTTTCCCCGAAAAAGGAGGTGTGACAATTGCGTGTGTAGCTAAATGCTCATAATGCTTTTGCATTAACTAGTGAACTTAGATTTAGCATAATCTGCTTCTGTTTTGAACTGATTGGTTACATTTCCAGAGTTGCTGAAACTTATGAATTTTCTACTTTTGCTTTTATTTTTCAGAATTACAGAATTTGTTCCGCAATTTCTTCTGAGCTCCTGCAAGATTTGAAAGAGCTTCAGCAGCCTTTTGTTTCTTTTTATTCTCCGTGGAGCTCAATCAAGGAAGTATTATATCCAGTAGTGATCTTTGTCCTTCATTCTTTTGACAATGTCTTTGCGTAGACCTCCCCTTCCTCGACTTCTGCTGAACAATGTGTCTTGCATGAGAAATGCTCAACAAATACTGCGCAATGTAAATGTTTCCCTCCATGATGGTGGTGCACTTGTACTAACAGGCACTAATGGCTCTGGTAAATCGACATTCTTGCGCATGTTAGCTGGTTTCTCGAAACCATCAGCTGGTGAGATACTCTGGAATGGTCATGATATCACTGATTCAGGTGTTTTTCAACAGTACAAACTTCAGCTCAACTGGCTCTCTCTTAAGGACGCTATCAAAGAGAAGTTCACAGTCCTTGATAATGTTCAATGGTTCGAAGTTCTTGAAGGCAAGCAAGGAAGATCTCTGCCAGCTTTGCAGCTTATGGGGCTTGGAAGATTAGTAAACGATAAAGCACGAATGCTTTCTATGGGTCAAAGGAAAAGGGTACAGCTGGCCAGATTGTTGGCAATTGATCGGCCTATTTGGTTGCTTGATGAACCTTCAGTAGCATTGGATGACGAAGGTGTGAAATTGCTCGAGTACATTATTGCAGAGCACAGAAAAAAAGGTGGTATTGTCATTGTCGCCACCCATCTGCCTATTCAGATTGAGGATGCAATGTTTTTAAGGTTGCCACCGAGGTTCCCAAGAAGGATGACTTTGGTAGACATGCTTGATCGAGGTGGCCTGGACTGATCTTTAAGAAGATGTAATCCAAGTTTAAAGAAAACATTGCAATAAATTAAAGAGCATGCAATAGAGAAACAAGAGAAGCGTGTGATGTGCCAAATTTTCTTCTAGTGGCATCAGAGTTTGCACTTTATTTCATTCTTGATGGTTGCAAGAACTGCTCCAAGATTTTTGTATTTAGAATATCTAGGACTAGCTTCATTATCTCTACATTGTTAGTTCCTCCTTTTTTTGCACTTCAATTTGCCATGAAAAATGTGTGGAGAGCACCTTGCCTAGGTCTTTGGTCTAGTGGTAAGAGTGCAACACGGGACAAAAGTCTGCACTTTTATTTCATTCTTGAAGGTTGCAAGAATCGCTTGAGGACTTTTATATTTAAGATGTTTAGGATTAGCTTAAATATTTTTTCTTTGTTAGTTTCTCCAGTAGAAAATATCAACAACTTCTAGTACTTTCTATTTCTATTGTTAATTTGTATAATATTAGTTTGAGATGTGAGCTTACATGGAGCGGCATGGTCCGTAAGAATTCATATAGCCTGTCTTAACATACTTGGAGTTGAAGCATAGTAGTAATTGTTGTTGCTTAGTTCCTCTTATCTGTTAGTGCCTACTTGTGCTTTGTGCAGAGATGAATTTTGGTCACTTCACTTGTTCTCTTTTTATTGTCAGTCCTCTGGTTGCATGTGACGATGAGATTGTTCCTCTACAAACACAGGAAAAATGGTATTTCTATTCTTTTTATTTCTTCTTTTATTTTGTATAATATTGGTCCGAGATGAGCTTAAATGGAGCAACATTATCTAGAGATCATATACCCGACCTCAACATACTTGGGATTGATGCGCAGTAGTAGTAGTAGTTGTTGTCCTCTAATTTTGCACATCAATTTGCCACTAGAAATGTGTGAAGAGCACCTTGCATCAGATATAATGCTCTCTTATTATCATGTCAAGTAGCTTCATTTCTTTTATGCTAGTTTGAAGCAGAGAATTAAAGAGATATATTTGGGAGTTCATCTTTATCTTGTCAGCAGATTCAACACTGATCTGGATTTTGTAACAACTTTGGACATTACAGGAGGTATCTAAGATAAGGTTGTAGTCTAAAGTTGTCCAGATATTAACAAGAGATGTCTTGGATTTTATCTTTGTTTCGTCAGCAGACTGAGCACTGTTAACAGCTTTTGGACACACTGTTATTTGGTTGCTGTAGTAAGAATTCTTTTTCCTCAAAATTTGCACTTTTGGTTCAATAATTCTAGTGGTGTCAGGTGTGTTGTTTTTAAGAGAAAACCGTAAACCTGCAAAACGCATCACTGGAATACCACTTAAGAATAAAGCATGCAAAAAAAAAAAAAAAAAAAAAAAAAAAAAAAAAAAAATAGATGGAAAATATAATTATACATGCAAATAATCGTATATGCGGAATGCGATTTATAAGTTTCATTTGTGAATAAGATTTATAAGTCTTATATTGCAAATGCGATTTATAAGTTCCATTTGTTAAATAGTTAATCTCATATGCCAAATACTATTTATAAATCTCAATTCGTTTCTTACTGAGAGGAAAAAGAAATGGATGCCAACTATGCCTAATTCTCCTCACAAAATCTTGATGCAATTATAAAACAAGAACGTGCAGGTAGCTACCAACTTAGTCTAGACTCTAGATTAAATTCTTGCTGCATTATAAAACAAGATCATGGTTGCAACCAACCTAGTCTATTTCTAAACAAGTAAGATACTGATCTTCAAGCTTTGTAACAAACTCTATAAAATAAGAGCATTTGACTTTCACAACTAGTGACCACCATAGTGTGTGGGATGATTGAGATTTCTTCTGCCTTGGTCAGATATCTCGAGTTTAGTTTTGGAAATGAAGAATTTCTTAGCAGGGAGTTGGAAGCACTGGCGTTTACCTCCTTAACGGACTTACCCGATGAGAATTCAGATTAATCAGGAAAATGAGTTTCAAACGTAAAATAAAAAATAAAAAAAATAAAAAAAAGTGCTAATGGTGTGAAGGGATGATTGAGATTCCTTTACCCTTAATGAGATGTCTCGAGTTTAAGTTCTGAGAATAAAGAACTTCTTGGTAGGAAGCTAGGAGCACTTGGCACTTTACCTCCTTAACGAGCTTACCCAACGAGAATTCAAATTAATCAAGACAGTGGATTCCAAATGTCAAATGATAAAAAAAAAAAAAAAAAAAAAAAAAAAAAAAAAAGAGATAAAGTGCTAATGGTTAGAAATTTACGCACACAACTCAAAATTGAAAGTTTTCTTACCAAAAGTTCCTCTCCAACTATTTACTGGTCCAATTCATTGTGCCCACACATATGATTGTGAAAAAAAGAATATCTTTTATGTCATTTTCTATAACTTTGACTTATTCTCTTTTGAACATTGTGAAAGTAACATGAACAAATACGACTTTAGAACTAAATATGTCATTTCATTTTGTTTTTTTGTAACGTGATTTTATTATTCTCATCTAACCTTAAAGTTCATATATCATGATTGGGGATGTGAATCATGTCGTGTTTCTTGAATATTTACACGACCTATGTGCTTGGGGTCCCTAATATTGTAAAGATTTTTAATATTGTTAATATTGTTAATATAGTTTATTAGTTAATTTGTATTTTGTCCGTTTATATAAGTTTGAATAGATAAGAAGCTAAAGAATGAAATGAAGATTTTTTCAACTTTTAGTCATAAACATTGCTATAATATTTGTTTGTTTATTACGAGATTTTTGCAACTTGTGGTTTAAAATACTTCATGACACTTATGTGGCTATAAATGTTGGATTTTGTATCTGTTACTGCTACTGTTTTCTAGAATAATTAGTTGTTTAGTTTTAAGAGGAGTATGCTAGAAGATTCAGAATTTTAATTATAGTAAGAGTTTAGTAATTTAGTTGTAGGAGGAGTCTACTACTTTATTTATTTGGCTATTTAAAGCCCTATAATTAATAAAATTTTAGAGACAGTTTTTCAATCATATTTTCAACCTTCTTGTTGTTTGCATATTTTTCTAAAATCCATAACAGTGGTATCAGAGCCTCCATTGATCTTGACGGATCTCTGAATTTGCTGAAAAATATCAAATTTCAACCACTTTTAAACCATACGCATTTTTATCCATACCGATTTTTAACCAAATTTTTAACAATGGCAAGCAGGGGTCTCTCTTGGAATACCCCACAAACTTTCACTGGTGAAAACTATCAGATTTGGTCAGTGAAGATGAAATCTTATCTTGAAGCTTATGATCTATGGGAAGTTGTAATGGAAGACAAACTTATACAACCACTTCCTACAAATCCTACCCTTGCCCAAATCAAAGCTTATTCAGATGAGAAAACCAAAAAATACAAAGCCAAAACTATAATTCAAAATTCAGTTACAGATTCAATCTTCTCTAAAATTATTGCATGTGAGACAGTAAAAGAAGCTTGGAAAACACTCAAACAGGAGTATCAAGAAAGTGAACGAGGCAGACAAAATCAAATTTTAAATTTGAAAAGAGATTTTGAATCTCTTATAATGCAAGATGATGAGACCATCTGTAATGACCCGACTTGTCGTTTTATGAATTTATGCCCCGTTCAGTGACTTAAGGTCTCGAGCAGCTTCGTAATATGTATTATGACCCGCGAGTGTGGTCGAGTTTGATTTTCGGAAGATTCAGAATTTAATTAAAAGAACAATTCTCATTTTTAAAACTTAAATAAAAAAATAATTGACCGGAGATTTGACTTATGTGTAAACGACCTCGGATTCGAATTTTGAAGATGCCAATAGCTTCGTATGGTAATTTTGGACTTAGGAGCGTGTTTGAAAAATTATTTGGAGGTCCGTAGTTGAATTAAGCTTGAAATGTCGAAAGTAGAATTTTTGAGAAGTTTGACAGGGGTGATTTTTTGATATCGAGGTCGGAATTCGATTCTGGAAATTGGAATAGCTTCGTTATGTCATTTATGACTTGTGTGTAAATTTTAAAGTCATTCCGGATTGATTTGATGTATTTCGGCACAAGATATAAAATTTGAAAGTTCAAAGTTTATTAGGCTTGAATTGAGGTGCGATTCGTGGTTTTAACGTTGTTTGATGTGATTCGAGGCTTCGACTAAGTTCGTATGATGTTTTAGGACTTGTTGGTATATTTGGTCGAAGTCCCGAGGGGCTCGGGTGAGTTTCGGGATGGTTTCAGGACATTTTTAGGCCATTTTTAATTGTTGGTTTCTGCCTACAGAGGTGTGCATCGCGATCGCGAACTTTTGGTTGCGTTCGCGAAGAGCAAACAATAGTTTGGGGCCTTGTGAATCGCGATCGTGGAAGCTCTTTCGCGATCGCGTAGAACAATTCTCTGCTTCACTGACCCGACTGTGAAAGCTTATATCTCGCAATCTATAAGGAATTTAGAGATAATCCAAAAATTAAAATTGTAGCCCTTGATGTCTAGTTTTCATAAAAGTAAATCATTTGTCATTTGGAGTTGTGTACAAAAGGTTATGATGGATACACTATAGGATGTCTGGAAAGAGTTTGGAAATCTCTGTTGCATAGGGCTGACTTTGGAAGCTTATATCTAGAAATCTATAAGGAATTACAAGATGAGAAACAAATAAAAGTTATAGATCTTGGTGTCTAGTTTTCAAAAAGTTGAACCATTTGTAATTTGGAATTTTGTACAAAACGTTATGACCATTCTACTAGAGGTTGTCTAGAAGAGTTGGGAGAGTTTGTTCTTCGCGATCGCGATTGGTTTTCCGCGATCGCGAAGAGCAATTTTGGGGATGAAAATTTTTGTGCTTTGCGATCGCGAAGCATTTTCCGCGATCGCGAAGAGTAAATACCTGGGCAGTAGTTATATTTCGAGGTTTCATCCATTTTTGACATATTTGGAGCTATGGAGCTCAAATTTAAGCGATTTTTAGGCGATTTTCACCATATTGATTAGGGTAAGTGTTCTATATCCTAAAGTATTTATATTTCATGAATCTATGATTATATTTATCATTTAATTCAGATTTTAATGGAAGAAATCAAGATTTTTATAAAATCTTCCAAAAACGAAAATTTAAGATTTGGAGGTCGAGTTTTTATTGGAATTCAATAAAATTGGTATGGTTGAACTCGTATCGGAATGAGTATTCGGATTTCATGAAAATTATGTCGGGTTCCGAGGGGCGGGTCCCACATTGACTTTTGTTGACTTTTTGAATAAATTTTTAAGTTGACATATTATTATCCGGAATTATTTCCGACGAATTTTAATGGAGTTATACAATTAATTTGGATAAATTTGAGCTGTCCGGAGTTCAATTCAAGCAAGAAGGTTATTTTGGAATATCGGCCTAACTTCAAAAAGGTAAGTATCTTGCTTAACCTCGAGTGGTAGAATTACCCCTTAGGCATTGAGTCTTATATGCCATTTAATAGACAAGTACGTACTCAGGCTTATACGTGCAAAATTCATTGAATTAAAGTCTTAGGCATT